CCATCCATCCATCCATCCATCCATCCATCCACCACTTCTGTTCCTCTGTCCTCCTTCACCATCCACATCTCTCCCTAGGTCTCTATGCCCTTGGCTCATGGCTGCCACCCTGTTTCCCAGCGATGTTTTGCCTCTGGGTCTCTGTGGATCTCAGTACATCAGTGACAAACCCTGGGATCGCCTGGTTTGAATGGTGTGAGACCTATTCCAAAGTATTTGGAGGATCCAGACTAAGCTCCCCAGGAATGTGCTGTGACCGTTGTAACCCAGCCTCCCTCTGCACCCATCCTTAGCCTCTTCCTATTACAGACGACCCTAGCAGCAACCTCACAGCAACCTCTCTCCCTCTCTCCCTCTTCATTCCTGCCACTAGCCCAGTCTCTTGGGTGATCCTGACAACCTACTTCTACCATTTAAATGGGGTTCCTTAACTTCTTTCTCTTCTTTATTCTCCTCACTACTGGGGTCCTCTTTGCAGGCCCTCTCCCCTGGGTGCTAAGCCCTCCAGGATTCACTCTACATTCCCTCAGCCCAGAGCCATCCCTCCATCCCTGTGATGATCGAACAATCTGTCTTCACTTCTCCAGCAGCATCCAACACCCTAATAACCATGTCCATTCTCCAGGAATATCTGTTCTCCAGTTCCTCACTCTGTCCATCAAGGCCTCAGGCTAGTCCACATAGCACATAGAGGGGTTATTGTCGGACTTTTATAGGACCAGAAGATTCAGCTCCTACACAAGGATTCCCCAGGCCAGGCCTCTGCCGAGTGCTCACCGCAGTTTGGTCTTCTGCACGGAGAAGCAGTACTCATTGATGCCTGTGGTGGGCATGCGACTCCGCAGCACGTCTTGCGCAGTGGGGACGTAGCCGTCCTCAGCGATGCGCTCCAGGTGTGACAGGTAGCTGTGGAGTGAGACGGTGTGAAACTGTGAGGAGGAAGCTGGGTGACGCCTTTTCTGTGGTCCCTCCCCACCCTGGCCCCTTCTCTCTCTGGCTCCACGTTCTGAAACTCTGCCCCAACTCTGGCCACGCCCCTTGAAGACCACTTCTCTCCCTGGGCCCCTCCCTTCCCCTGTGTCCCTTCCGCGGCCACACCCCACAGCAAGGCCCCTGAGACCTTGCCCACATGACCATTGGCCATACATCCCTGTGCTTCGACTCCACGACCCCTCCACCCGCAAATCCTAGACTCACTACACCGCGGAGTCCAGCAGATGGAATTCACGCCTGCGCTCGTAGCATGCACGGACGCCCGCATCCCGCCACAGGTACTGCATGGCCACTGCATATGGCTTCTCAAACGCGCTCACTTTATAGGGATCCTGAGTCATCACCAGGCTGGCGTGCTGCTGTAGAGGGACAGGTGAGAGGTCCTGTGGGAATTGCAGGCCCCACCTCCATCCCTAAAACACATTCCTTCCTTTTTTCTGTCCTTGTGCCATTTTGACAGATCCTACAGGGCTAACTGGCCCAGCATCCTTCATCTGTGGGCCTACACAAGGAAAGGCAGCGTTTGAGGTGGTACTCAGGAACTCCTGTCCATCCTCCAGTGCCCTTACTTACACAAACACCCCCTCCCCCAGTAAGACCTCTCCCAGAGCTCTCCTGTCTCACTCTAGGCTCCTCCTCCGAGAAGACCTGACCCTAGAGGGGCTGGAGGTGTCAAGGACAATGCATGAGGCTTCCCACCAGTGAAGTAAAACACTGTGGTTGTCCCCACTTTATGGAGTGAGGAGAGAGAAAAGCAAAGGTCTCCGGGGAGGGGAAGGCAGGCATCTCTGCCAGTCCCTGCTGTTGTCTCTGTTCAGTCTCGTAGACACTTGCCTCACTCACACCCCATGATGCACTGTGCATGCTTGTGCCTACATTCACACTCATGTGTTCACACACACAGTTGTACACTTTCCTGTGCTGTGTGTACATCTCTGTATGCACAGAGGCAGAAGGTGCAGGCCGGCAAACCTTATCCCTCTGTCCTGGGAACCCAGGCAGCCAGAGGGATCTTGAAGACAAGTCTCCTATTCTCCCTACAGGGCTTGAGGTGGAAGAGCACCCCAGCTGTTTTCACCCCCCCCCCCTTGGAGGGCTGGGATCACACCTAAGTACCCTACCACTCCCTGGCACCTGGTGTTTGTTTGCAACTGGTCCCTAAATGTGACCTCTAGGAAGGACTGAAGTTTAAGGGCTGAGGAAGGCTAGGGGTGGGGCCCATCCCTCCTGGGTAAGGCTCCCCGAGGCTTGTTGGGGGGAAGGGGTACCCACACCCCTCAGTATGCTCTGTAAGGTGACCCAAGAAACTCTCTGAAACCCAAGTGACCACTGGTGGATGGCGTCTCTGTCCTTTGTCAGAAGGAGTTATCCATGTTTCCACAGGTGAAGATTTTACTAACACTGTCATTAGGGTGTCATGGGTCTGGAGAACATGTGGGCGACTCTGGCCAGAATGGCTAGGAATGGTCATTGTCCCCAAGGGCTTGTGAGAAACCTTGTAGCTGGCTGAGAGCTGGACCTTGCAACCCCTAAGTTCACAAAGTGAAGCAGGGAGCCTGGGGTCCCAGCGTGCCATGGTGTCTGGAGATGGAGCCATGAAAGTGATTTTGTAAGGGTGTCCTAAGCCAACAGCACTGAGACCTGAGAGAAAGGGAGTGGGGGGTCTGGGGAGTCGGGGGTCTGGGGAGTCAGCTCAGTGGGTAAAGTGTTTGCTATGCAAACAACCTGAATTCCACCCCCACATTAATCAGTTCACAAGTGTAATTCTAGCCCTGGGGATACAGCGGCCTCTTCTGGCCGCTATGGGAACTGCACTCACATGCACAGACAATTGAAAACAAACGGTAAAATAAATTGAATAAATTAAATGAATGAATAGAGATCAGGTACCCTAGCAAACTCATTTCTGGCATAAGGGGGACTGGCGGGTCTTTGGATGCTCCTGGGTTCCCAGGGGACTCGGCTCTCACCTTGCTGTCAGGCCTGCTGAAGGGGATCTGCAGCCGGTCCATTGCTTCGATCATGGCCTGCATGGAGACGAAGATATTCTGGTAGACGAGCGGCCGGAAGGCTCTGCGGTCCTCCTCAGAGTAGCCCACGCCATGAATGATACGCATTTGCTTGATAAACGTGCTTTTCCCACTCTCACCGGGCCCTGGGGACAAACACCACGCTTAGAAGTAAGGGTTCATGGTATACACACGGTGCTCACCGTGAACACAGTACTCACAGTGCCTACAGTGCCCAGAGCAGCCATAATGCCCATGCTACCCATAGCCAGCCCTGTCGCTGAGCAACCACAGTGCACCCAGTGCCCATAGCACACACGGTGCACGTGGCAACCATGGTGCACGCGGTGGCCACGGCGCACACTGCGACCACGGTGATCATGCTGCCCGCAGTGTCCATGGAACCTTGAGCTGCTCACTGTGGAACAGCGTTTTAGTTACTCCTCTCCTTGCTATGACAAAATGCCCAACACGCTGCTTCAGAGAGGAGGGTTGTGTGGCCCACGGCTGCAGGGCACAGCCCCCATGGGGCAGGAGCAGAGGTGATTGCCCACCTCTCATGCAGCCCTGCCCCCCAGTCTGTGGGGTCTTCACTCTCAGCCACCGACATTTACACAAACCCTGTCAGGCATGGCGAGAGGCTGACCTGATCTAGATTTTTTTCCTTACAGTGTGGGTGGGGCTTAGGAGATTCTAGATCAGTTCAGCTGACCATCACTATGAGGCAACATGGGTCGCTGTCCTAGTCAGAGTTTCTACTGCTGTGATGAAACACTAGGACCAAAAGCAGGCTGGTGAGGAAAGGATTTGTTTGGGTTACACTTCCACATCACAGTTCATCACTGAAGTCAGGCAGGAGCCCACGCAGGGCAGGATCTTGGAGGCAGGAGCTGATGCAGAGGCCATGGAGGGCGCTGCACACTGCCTTGCTCCCATGGTCTGCTCAGCCGGCTTCTTAGAGAACCCAGGACCACCCGAAATGAGCTGGTTCTTCCTCACTGAGCACTAAGTAGGAAAATGTCAGCTGGTTGGTGGTAGCACATGCCTTAATTCCCAGAAGGCCACTATCTTAGTGAGTGTAAGTCCAGCCGAGAGAGAGAGAGAGAGAGAGAGAGAGAGAGAGAGAGAGAGAGAGAG